ACTTATATCTAAGAAACTCTTATTAAATAAAGGTATTTAAATAATATATTCTAAAATTAGTGGAACAACAAGGGACATGATCTCTCTTTGACCTGTTTTACTAAGACTAACTCTATTGATTTAAATGGCTTTCTTTTCATTTTTGTCAGTGCAAATGATTCTTGGGAAAAATCATTACATTTTTCCCATACAGAATCACAATATTCCTCATATTACTTTTTTGTATCTGTTAGCTAGGATGAATGAATACATTAGAAAATATTGAGAAGAAAAAAATAGCATAAAAATTGAAAGGCGCATGTTAATTTAAATGTCATTGTAATTTTAATTTAGTTTTCTCCATATTTTACTGTACAAACACATTTTACTGTAACACAAACAGAGAAGTTTATTTTCCAGTTCATTTTAAGAAATGAGGTATAGCAGGTGAAAACTGAGCCCCAGCTAAGTCAATGGCAAATGGCAAGCCATTGACTTGAATAGGGCCAAAATTTCACCTTGTATATTAAATTACCATGTTCACTCACAATAAAGCCCTTTTCTTCTTTGTTTTATAAATTACAAGGCAATCCAGGTTCTTAGGCATACCCTCATAGGAACCCTTTTGCGCTGATCATTCTAGTAGGACCTAGATGTATGTCTGATAGTCTATCCGTTGAAAATAGCTTTTAGTTGCTATAGACTAGGGCTAGCGATGAAAGACTCTGTACTTCATTACCCTGAACTAGTAAATTCCATTATCTCCCCCAACACATGCATATATGTTATGATTTTAATGCAAGGTACATTCACTGAGTTTGCAATACATGGATTTTTTTACTTATTGCTGTATCAAAGGTCTCATTATTTGCTTCTTGAAAAGCTATTGAGGCTTCATGGACAATTCTGGTGGCATCTCATATTTTATGGAGTATTTTGTTCTGCTTGGCATTTTTTCAAACTACTGAGACCAATTGCAGGAAAAAATGTTTGTTGGTTCTGCTATTATTGCTATTCATCTGAAGTCATAATTCTCCATAACGTAAGACAGATCCCTAGTAGGCCCAGTCACACTTCTGGATGTGTGGCAAAAGGCACTCTGTCTGCACAAATCCTTCCCTCTAGTGCAGTCAGCCACCTCAATGAGGTCGGACTCCTCCATAGAGACAATAACAAGTGGTCACAGAACAGATTGAGAGAGGAGTGGATACAAATCTGCCCGTGCCCTTTCAGGAGGTTACTTGAGAAGGGTAATACAGTGAGAAGTTACAATACATTTTCAGAGCTCCCCCCAACCCCCTTCTCAATAATGTGGATAGCTGTTATTTCCCCTTTAAGTAGATATAGGAGAATGGAACACTTAGGGGTGTCCCTGATGGCTCAGCTTCAGTGAAGCTACTCTGTTAACAAGCGAAAGACTGAGTGACTTGGATCTCCTGATCTCATTGGATCCATTCAGATCCACGGGGGTTTTGATTGAGCTCTCTTACTGTTAAAGGCAAATCCTGCTCCTTGTTAGAATAGGAAGAAGTCTCCACAGGAGACCCTTGGATTCATAAACATTTCTTCTCCTTTAAATCTTTTATCAGTATTTCCCTGTGGAAGTGGGCAGTCTGGCCTTATAGTATTAACAAGGGTTATTATTTTAGATGAGCAGCAGTAAAAGATATAGACCTAAACAAAGATTTTACTGTACTGACACGTGGTAACTTAGCACGCTTTACAATGAACAATACTTTCATAGCAAAAAATAGAAAAGGAGTACTCAGTTTAGACTTAATGAGACTTTCTGATTTTCCTAAATTTGGGGAAATTTCCACAGAGAGGTCTAAACAGAAAAAAGTCTTTCTTCATAAAAATAACAAGGCTGTTGTGAGGATTGTCATGAGTTGCTAATGGAATACTGAAAGAGCAATTCTGAAATACATAAAGGCTTAGCATGTAAAGAAGCTATTTAAATCATAAGCAGAATTTTAAAATCTATGAAGAAAACTACTAGAAGTGAATGTAAAGATTTTGAGGGAAGTTGGGTGTATATTTAAAGAGCCTTCCTTTTGGATTCAAAATGAGTTTGTGTGTGCTAATTTGTTTATAAATTAGGCCAATAAACAAGGAGTTAAAATTGTTCCATATTATAACTTCATACAATAATAAACCAGGACAAAAACACATTGAATATATTATAGGAAAGCAGAACTGTCTCTAAACTGAACCCTCTTGAAAACTTTATGAAAAGTAAGTGTTGATGTCCTTTTTGGAATGTTCCATAAACTGTCAGAAGTATAAGATCTAAAATACACTATTCCATTATACACCAACTGCATTATTGTAAATAAATTTTATGTATTATTAGATTTCTAATATGCAAATAATGTTTTGCTCTTCTATTTGCATAGCTTTTAGATGTCAGCTTATATAAAATAGTTACATGAGAGTATTTTCTTTTTATGATGTAAAGGGACAAAAACAATTTTTTTTCTATAAGGAAATCAGCTGTCTTCTCTCTTACAAAATAAATAAGAATGGGGATTTTGCCTATCTAACTGATGAGAGCAACAAGCTCACATTGAAATATGACATCTTAAAAAGGAGATGTTTTATTTCATTTAGAATGTACTGATAATGTAGAGCCCCTTTTCTCAGAGATGGCATCTAAATATGGGACAATATAGTACTATCACAAAACAAAAAATATAAATTGCTTTTAATAGAGCATTTAATCTCCTCCTTGTTCCCTGTAGGAAAAAAAATCCCACGACATTCAATTAATGTAAGAAAAGTTGGAACTCTAATGTTTAAAAAACAAGTCATTATTCTCTGTGTGATATCTGGAACAGGTGAAATCTTTTAGGGCTTAGTTGTGCCTAGATGGTACATTTCTTCATTGAATGTACTATATAAGAATCTTATCCCAGTGGATATCTAGAAGTGATTGTGTCTCAGAAGACAACATGCTAGCAGTTTACTCCCTTCTGCCCAACTGTAAATGATTACCCAAAGTGCAAAGCAGAGGAGAATTGGTCTCAATGACTCCCAGAAAGCAAAACATCTGTCAACATTTTAAGACACTTTCATTTGGACCTGGACAACTTTGCTGGTCTATATCCTTTTGGGATGGCTTGTCCTGTTAATAGCTTAAGTCAGCAGCAGTCTTTGTGCTCCGGAGTATATAAGGACTACAAATTTGCCCTGTCCCTGACTGGAAAATAAGAACTAGAACCTTCCCATTTCCTATGTGCCTTCACAGAGTGCATACACAACATAATTTCTAGAGTTTTGTGCATAACAACCATGACCATTCTTAAAAATGATAATTTAGATAAAAATCCTGCTATTATGAAAAATGATTGTTGCTTTAAAATGGAAAAAAGTATATACATACAAAGCAAAGATGTCAGTCTGCAGTCTGAACTTAAACTTGATTTAGTATTTTCTGATCTAATATGATAGAATAGTTAGCTGCCTTCTGAAAAGTTATATATGCTTTTTGTAAATAAGAGAAGTTTTTACTAAATAAAGGGTTAGTTTTTCAATCAGTAGTATGCTGGCATTTTAAATAAAAAGCCAAGGGCATAACGATGGATAGCCTTGAAATAAAATAATTGATAGTACATTTCTATTTATAATTATATTTCATTCAGTATATTACAGTCCATCCCCCTACTCCATACATTAAATAGTCAACATTATAAGAAAATATTCACTCCTCTACAGCTCACAGCACCAAATAATCCCACATCATGTGACCCAGTTTCTTAAAATCTGTTCCTATTTGCAAAGGTATAATACAATTATAATAAATGCTGCTACATTCACACTTTGACACAATTAAGCTAACACGAGCTAAAATGAATGTATAATATCTCCATCACCACTACTGGGTACTATGCATAGAAGTGTGTTTATAAATAACCCTTGTGTATGTTATCACAAAATAATTTCTGGTATCTTAACTTTTACATTTTTATTTCCTTCCTGCGCCTTTGAAAAAAGTGAGGATATGACACTCAGTAATAACCTGCCTCTCTGCATTATGTATATTGTATGTATTTATACTTTCTCTTATTGCAAAACAAAATTAACATAATCACATATAGCTGATATTTTAAATATTGTAACAGAAAACATCAACAAGATTACCTTGAATTCTGCTTTTAAATGTATATATTGTGGGGATTATTTACTTCTTTGTTTGTTTGCCTTTTAAAATACAGAGATTAATGGAAGAAGGAATCTAATTTGTTCCAGAATGTAATTACTATGCTTAAAGAACATGACAACAAGACTGTATGTGCTGATACCATAGTAGTTGATCTGAAAAAAGTGCACAAAGCTTTTTCACAAGGATGTCCTGTAGTCTGTTCTGTTCAACTCTTGATGTATTGTTCCCTGGTAGCAAGCACAATACATATTTTAGAAAGCCTAGTTGCATAGTACCCCCAATGGGTAAACGTCTTGAAACAAATTCCAAAAACAGTTTCCTTTCTCCAGATTGTACCTGCTTCTTTAAAGACTTTCCTGATCGAATAAAGTCTCCAGCTTAGATGTCCTATACTAACTAAAATAATGATTATTAATAACTGAAATCAACTGTATTCTGAATTCTGAATAAACTTTGTGGAACATATACTGCTACACATCGTCAATCTGGGGAATTTTAAAGTGTGTTAAGTATTGCATTTGTCATTTGAAAAAGAAAGAATGTGACAAAACACAAACTAGTTGACCAACTATGCCCGGGGGAGCCCCAGCGCTGAATAAAACAAGATACCTTACAATGAAAAATGAAACTGAAACACAGCAACACACCCGTATTACAAAATTATCCCAAAGACGAATATCCCATGCATATAATTGTCACTGACAGGGAAAAGGGTATTGAAGTTAGGCATTTGTGGCGAGTAAGGCTGGAGAGGTAGCAACAACTGGGCATGATCTCAGTCCCATGCATTTCAGCTATACAAGAAAAACCGCTTGCGGCACGTTTGTTGATCTCTGTTCCCCACTCGGGAGGGACTCACCTGAGCAGAACTGCAGCTTCCCACAAATAAAATCCCGAAACAGCCGCACGAAGGTATCTAACCTTGGCCATGATACTACGAGGCATTCACAACCTCGAGAGTAGACGTTTCCGAGTCATGGAGGATGCAGAAAGAGTGCCAAGAAAATCTGTTCTGTCTGGAGAGCTGTTGGAGAAAACTGCCGGGACTTCAGCACCCTGGAGAGCTCCGTGTGGCAGTTCAGCACCTGTAACCCTGCTGGCAGGGAGGTCTTAATCCCGCGCAGTTATTCACCAGCCCCTGGCACTTGGCCGCACATTTTCTGGTGGTGGCTGGGAACCAGTTCGGTAGGGTTTGAATTTTTCATTTAAAGAAAACGACAGGAGAAGATCAGGCAGCAAGAGCTCACCTTCCCTTCCCTCCCCTCCCTCCGGCTCCTGCTAGCAGCCTGAACCCCGCTCGCAACATTCCTGAGCAACTGGAACGCTAGGGCCAGCTGCGAGAGAGCGCGGGGGAGGGCGGAGACCAAGCCCAGGCAATGGGCTGCCCACAGCCACTCCGGGGAGTTCCCAGACCGACTGACAGCCTGTCTGAGCAGCACTGCAACATGCCAGAGGAGCTAGCTAGGGGAGGGTAGGACAGTGATCCTTCAGACGCGCGTGTGTGTGAGGGGGGAGGGGGAAGCTGATATTTCAGGAGGTGGGAGGGCAGGGAGTGGATCCCCTAGAAGGAGATGTCTGACGGGGGGATGGGGAGCATGGATGATGTAGAAGAGGAGGAGGGAATGTGGAAGGTGCTGCTCCTTCTAAAGGGGATCTGAGGAGGGGGGGCACCTTAATACAGCCAGGAATGGAGAGAATCATTCACCCCCCCCCCTTTCTTTTCACATCCTTTAGATTCAGTGCGGGTATTAGAACGGGGCCATCTGTCCTAGTTGCTGTCAGAGCCCAGTTCAGCTTAAACGCCTGTAGAAGCGCTGCCGCCTGCGTCCCGTTGTAGGGGGTGGGGTGGTGAAGAGAAGAGGCGCTTGCACGGGGCGGGCAGTGCAGAGGAGAGCTGGGGATGCCCAGAGAGGAGTTGTGCTGGGAAGTGAGCGCTGGGTGTGTTGGGGGGAGTGCCGGGAGGTTGTGCTTCGGCTGGGGGACCGCCGGGAGTGCTCGGAGACATCAGGTGCGCAGCGCATTGAGCGCTGGGCAGGGCGAGTGGTCCTTTGAAGCAATGGGTGCTGGGCGATGCACTGGGGTTAGTAGCTCTCCGGTGGCTGGATGGGGAGAGTGGTCGAGGGTAGTTTCCACTTTAAAAGGAGCAACCCCTGAGGAAATATGGACTCCTATCCCGACCCTATTTCATCCCAGGTGATGAGGTGGGCATGGGAGCCTGGGGCGGGGCAGCTGGCACGGGAAGAGAGCTCAGGAGCAAGGGGGTGGGTGAGAAAGCCCGGGGAAAGGGGACGAGGGAGAAGTCAGAAAGGAAGAGTCAGGTGTGGGGAGTGCGGGAGTGAGAGAAAAGCGAAAGGAGAAGGACCGGATGAGGTTTACATGAGGGTGGAACATAGCCGCCTGCGAATGAACATCCATGTGGCAGAGAAAAAAGAGGGAAAAAACCGACAGGGAGAGTGTTGGGGCTGGGATCATAGATGGGATGGGAGCGCGAGCTCTCTTTGTCTGGGCGGGGGTCTCTATACCCAGTCTCTAAACTGGGTTTGCTTTGGGGGGAGGTAAAAGTGGAGAGAATAGAGCGAGAGGGAGGACGAGAGCCAAAAAAGGGGAAGGATGGAGCGAGAGAATGAAGGTGTGAAGAAGGAAGAAGGGGACAGTGCATAAGAAACCGAAGGGTGTGTGTATGAGAACATAGAGAAACGATGCGGGGGAATGGACTGAAATGACAGAAGAGAAGACAAAGTAGTAAAGGAAAGGAAGAGATAAGGGAAGGAGATGAAACATGCTTTTATTTATTAGAGGGGACGGATAAGAAAAGATGGATAAATCACATTTTAGTCATATTATTAAAAGAGGGATACAATACAATGCGCTGTTCAGCCCTAAATCCTGGTTCCCATTGAATTATGTTTCCATGGCCGCACCTAAGCCGCCTTTTGCTGTCACTATTCCAGTTGCCCTAGCAAGCAACAATAAGTAGTACAGTAATAACACCTCCCTCTTTTTCGAGGACTGATGTGTGTCTTGCCAGGCCCTCCACATACTTTGGGTTAGATGCATTGCTAGGAGATACTCTAGGAAGTCTGTTTAAACTGACCCTCTTCCCCCAGGGTTTCCTTAAAATGTAATAATTTAATAAAAGGGTGGAGGAACAAGAAGATCAGGTATCCACTGTCATTAGCTGCCCCAAAATCTGAGGCAGTATTTAAAAACCTGTTTTTCCCAAGGTCTGTCCTGGACTGAATGTGCTGTATTGCCTTTTTTTTCCCTTAAAATAAATACTCTGTGAAGCAATTTCTCCTTGGTACTGTTTGATTTTACAGACTTCTGCACTTAAATTGTCCTACTTTTTCCCAAGGGACTGAGCAAGATGCATTTTTTTTCTTTTAGCACTATTAATTAATATTACTACAATGTTACTCTAGTATACAATATTACAATATTATTCTAGAATAATAGTTCTATAACTGCCAAGTTCATTAAATATGTATAGTTCAAATTCATCAAAATACAGGAGAGAACCATATATTTTAATTTTAAACAGTAATCTTTGTTACTGTATTCACCATTTGCATTACTTTCGATAAACTTTCGATACAATGCTCTTTATTAGTCCACAACTTTTTTTAATGAATCACAGCACCTATGAAATTTGTCACATTGATAGTGTTGAATACTGAAATCTACTTAGTCACGAGAGAGGCACAAGTATAGGGATTGACAGTGTAAACTTCCCCACACCACAGTATCACATAGCACTTCTCTATATAGTCACAGCCTACCTTTGTTGAAAGGAGCATGCAGTCTCAAAGTTTTTTCAACACTAGGGCTAAGTCTACACTGCAGAGTTTTTGCGTATCACCAGCCATTTTTGCGCAAAAACTCATGGAGCATCCACACCACCAGCACGTTTTTGCACAAGAAAAAGTACAGTAGATCTTCCGAAGACAGGGCTTTTTGTGCAAGAGTTTTTTCTCTTTCTATGAGGAATAAGCCTTTTTGTGCAAGAGCTCTTGTGCAAAAAAAGCATGTGTGGATGGACAATGGGTTTCTTGAGCAAGAAACCCCTATCGGAAAAAGTACAGGTGCTCTGATGGCCATTTTGTGAATGGCCATCAGAGCTTTCTTGTGCAAGAGCATCCATGACATTGTAGATGTGTTCTTGCACAAGAACTTTTGGCAGAAGATTTCTTGTGCAAGAAGCCTGCAGTGTAGACATAGCCTTGGACTTTTTCCTAAAGAGATTAGCATGTGTGATAGATAGTTATATTACAACCATCCATGTAATTATTTATAAGGCCTTCATCATCATCATCATCATCATCATCATCATCATCATCATGTCTTAGTGTCTCAATTTAAAAAATAAATGACAACATACAGTACTTTCTTCCTTTTCTTCCAAAAGGAGCAGCTTAGTGGGTTGCAGGCATTTTTTCATTTTCTCAGCTTCTTTCCCCTCCACTTCCTATCTCTTCTGTACATGGGAGAAGACAATAAATAGAGCTGGTTTGGTAAGAATGCACTGATGACATAGGTTTTGGATTTAGTTTTTTTCAGTAGCCGCAGTGTGTCTCTGGGTAAATCTAAGAGAACATGATGATGGCTCCTCAGTTAAAAACCAGTACAATATATCCATAGCCCTCATTCACCTGCTTAAGATCACAGTTTAACAGAGCACTTAAGCAGGTGCTATTTACTTCAAAAGACATAAGCATGAGTTTTGTTGAATTGGGTCCTAATATAGGTTTGTTCTGATGATAACCATGTTGTTTTCCTTGCATATTAATGTTAGACAAACTGTTATTAAAGTTTCAAGTTGAACATTTAATAACAGATTTTAGAATTTTCTACAGTGCCTCTAAATACTTCTGTTTGCTTGTTGGGTTGAGTTAGATTTTTTGGGTAAGGAGGTGAGACTTGTCTGAATAGTCACATGTAAACTTCACCTCTACATTGTGTGGCAAAGAATATTTCTCTTCTTCAAAAATGTTTCCTGTAAATTTATGTAAACCGCCAATACATGGGAAAAAGATAATATAAGAATGTTTTTCTGTAAAAGCGTTATACTCTGTAGTGAGACAAGGTGCTATCTTTTATTAGACCAATGTCTGTTGGTGGAAGGGACAAGCACTGGCGTTATACAAAGCTCTTCCTCAGGTCTGGAGAAGGTAACCAGACTGTCTATGTTAACTGCAAGGTAGAACAGGTTGTTAAGTCTAAGTAGTCCACACATTCAGTAGGAGACCACTTAAAAATGAATTGAGCAATTAAGGGTTAGCAGGCAGGAAGTTGTGTTACAGATTGTTCTAAAGAGCCATACAACCACTGTCTCTATTAAGTCTATGGCGATTTATGTTCAATAGAGTTATGGATTTAAGTTTCCAGGCTTGACTTTGAGGGTGTGATCCATGTTTCCTTTAAAGGGCGAGGAGTAAAAAGTCAGCTATGGAGTCCAACATAGCTACAACAACACTGAAACCTTGCATTTTGCAGTGACACACAGAAGCTTGAGAAATGGTTTCACTTACCCACTGTTGGCAGTGAACATGCCTGTGCAAATGATAAGGATAAATCAATTCCACAGGGTGCTTTGGATCACTGGGGTCACTTTGCCAGTGTACAGTTTTATGCAGCTAAATACAAAATAATATATCTTCTAACTATAGAATGTAGGTCACACATAGGGTAGAGGAACTGTATTTTGAAAAGCAATCATTCTGCAAGGGACTTTGGGGTCATGGTTGATAACAAACAGAATATGAGCTGCCAGAACAATGTGAGAGCTAGGAAGAGAAATGCAGTCTTTGGATGTATAAATAGGGAAACACTCAGAAGAAATAAATAGGGCAATGTTATTACTACTATATATGGCATTAGTGAAACCATTCCTGAAATACTATAATCAGTTCAGATGTTCACTGTTTTTAAGAAAGGATGTTGACCAATTGGAAAGGTTACTGAAAAGAGCTGCAAGAATGAATCCAGGTCTGGAAAACCTGTCTTACCCTGACAGACTAAAGAAGTTCAGTCTTTTACAGGGATGGTCAAACTGTGGTTCATGAGCCTTATGTGTCCCTTTTAGGTGGTAGGACTAGGAGGTTCTGTGGGTAGAAGGGGCTTTGGGCTTAAGCGGAAACCCTGAGCCCCAGCAGGGTCTCACAAATGGCTGAAGCCAGGGGTGCCATTTCAGATTTTGGTAGGGAGTGGGGACCAACCTGTGCGTGCCATGATGGGAGGTGGGGAGAGAGTGAGAGCATGGGGGGTGGACTGAGGACAGAGGCTTCAGCAGTATTACTGAGCACGCTCAGTACAAATCAAGCAACAAAGGGGGGGGGCAACCTCATCCACTCTCCCGCAAACAAACATAATCTCTATCCAAGGGCTATCAAGGCACTGGAAAACTCTCTTTTTTGGTAGATAATTTAGAGGTTAGC